GAATGAAATTAGAGGGAGATTGGAAGTAAACTTGATAAGATTAGAAAAATAAGGGTAAGATTTTCTTGTTAGAAAGAGTTATTGTTAATTAGTAAAACATCATCCCGAAATCAACAAACTTAAAATTGGAATAAAGGAGCAGTGAAATATTTAACGAACTGCATGTGGTATACTGGGATGAAAATTCTGATCTCACCATCAATTTTAGTTATTTTATTGGTTATAAGCATTATTTAAATTGCTTAATTTTAAAGTTTTATTTGTGAATAGCACATAATGCTACGAAAAAAGTGTTCTTCATTATTGTTTCATGGAACTGACGAAAAAATTTATCTCTAAGTTATAAACAGCATTGCAGTCATCTCTAGGTTACCAACACCATTGCTGTTATCTCTAAGTTATCAACAGCATTGCTGTTATCTCTAAGTTATTAACAGTATTGCTGTTATCTCTAAGTTATTAACAGTATTGCTATTATCATTATAACCATTATCTCTATCATTACTAGCCTTTTTGTTATTTTCTAATTAATACTTATAATTTTATCACATACCCTTGCTATCACTATCAATTATCATTGTTGTTGCTAATTCTTTTCATCATTATTGCTTAATGATTGGAAATTTAATTATTTATTGTTACGATCATTATAATTTGTAGTTCTGTAATTACGACAATAATATTATGATCGCTAATTAAGCAAGACATGTTATAATTCGTAATTAAACAACTTTTGCTAGCTTATATTAGTTTTATTTGATAGCTATACAATTATCGCTAATTATATTTTATACATTTGACAATTTTGATAATCGTAAATTATGATTATATCTAAATTGGAATAGTTATGCATTATCAGTAAGTTTATTTGATCGAAATTACAAAAGTTATATGTTTGCATGAATTTTTGACAAATCAATTGCAAGTGCATTTATGCAAAAGATTTTTAACTCCAGTACTTGAAATGAAGCGAAATTAAAATACTTGAAATTGGAATTGAAACGAAATTGAAAACATAGCTTTATAATTATCAATTGCATAAAAAACTATTTGCTATTTTAATTTCACAATTTTCTGTTCAATATTATCAAATAATTGATCCATAATTTGTTACAATACTGTGCTGCAAATTCGTATAAATTATTAATAACAATTTCAACTCGTACAAATTATTAACAACAAGTTTCAATTTTAAATTTAAAATTGAAATTTGATAATTCAAAAGATTTCGTAATATTAAATAAATCAATGTTATTATTCATTTTCTACTAGATATTAATGTAGCATTTATCATTCGAATATATTCGGTCCAACAATTATTTTTTTTTTGAATTCAGTTTATTTGATTTATGTTAACACTAGAAACCAAATATACCTTTCCTTTTTATCATTTTATCATTTTATCATTATCAGGAATAGCAATGTATGCTGGAAAATCCATATTCATTTATCGTTTAGTTTTTCTTGGAATTTCTAAAATTTAAAAGAGAATATTATTTTATATTTTAGATTTTACTCAACCAAACAATGCATGTCATGCATTACTGGAAGATGTCAAATTATCAAAGATATCAGATATCATCTAATCCTATCATCTTCATTCTGCATAAAACTTTCAAAATTACTGGAAAATTACTGGCATGGGAAGTGATAATGCGAAACAAACTTCTTTTATAGATATCAAATTTACCTGATAAGAAGTAATAACTCTAACACGACTCAATGGTATTATCATTCCATTTGAATCAACAATCTTCCAACCTTGTGGTAAACCAGCAACCTGTAAAATTTACATACTATTATTCTCTTATTTTTAAAATTTAGCGAATTAAAAATTTAATTTTAGCACTTTTTTAAATGAAATTTTTTAAACTTCTAAAACATTTTTTTTTCTTTTAACAAAATTTTATTTAAATTATTATATAAATACTTGAAAATATAATTACCGATGGATAACCGTGAGTTTGATTAATACGATCAAATAAATTAATTTTTGTTGTATTCTGAAATATGACATTTGTATCGTTGAAATTTGCATAAATGCTTGGAATGCTTAATTTATTTCGTCGATTAATTCATCATTTCTTTACGATTAATGCTATCATTTTTATATTATAATAAAATGTTAAATATAAAAAAAAAAAAGAAAAACAGTAATAAGAAAAAAGAGTAAAGTTTAATTTGAAAATAAAAGCCAAAATTTATTAATATCACAAATTTTATTGCAATTATAAAATTTAATAAGATCATTTTAAGATTCCTGTTTAAGTGAACCACATAATGGTTGTTCCGGTATGTCACATGGGAATTCTCGGTAGTATATTTTAGAATTATCCTCAAAACATTGATGAGCAATGTAATCATCAATATATGTTTCACCAATAATCATCGATCGGCCATTTCTTGTGCGACAACCTAAAAATTAAAATTTCCAATTTATCTTAATATATAGGAAAATAATGTAAGTAATATCTTAATTTAAAATTTTTTCTTTTCATAAATTTTCATTTTTCAACTATTTATGCTTTAAATTATTTAATTAACTATTTAAAATTAGTTCTACAAATTGTTGAATAAATAAGGTAATCCGGAAATCCGGTAAAGATAAGCTTTTGATATGATACATCATATTATCCTCTTTTTTTTTCTTATTTATAAGCTGAATTTAATATTTTTTTTTTAATGAATGAACTTTTTTAATAACTACTCTTTCTTGGCTAATTGAAAGTTAATTAATTTTATTGAAATTTCCTAAGTTGAAAATTCCGGATTTAACTATATTGTATAATTATTTCAAATTGAAAATATCTACCAATGATGGTATAAGCGCCAAATTTCATACATTTGTATAAAAGATGTCCTGTAAACCAAGTTTCACCCTAAAATTTAAATTTTAATAATCGATAAAAAAATTCTAGAAATAAAAAATATTATTAAAATTTATTGAAAAATTCAAAATTCATAAAAAAATTTTATCAAATTTTATACAATTTTTAACATATTTCTTTCCTACTTCTTTATATGCTTTCCCATTTTGTTGGCAATCAATAGTTACTGGAATCATTTGATTAGCTTGAAGGATAATCATTGGTGAATCGCGGGGAGAAGCTAACCAAGCAGTTATATTAGTTGAAATTTTTGTTAATCCTGCACATTCCACTGTAAGTAATACTGTTGCAGATAAATAGATTCGTAACATGCTGAAGTTTAATTATGAAATTTCAAATAAGAAAAAAAAAGAATAAAAGAGCAGAAAAAAATCTTTACTTAAAATTTAATTAATTGAAGTAATTAAAAATGCATCTGCACAAAACAAAAGAAAAAAAAATTACATAAATCATTGTTACAACTGCAATAAAAGTGTTTTTCATTAGTGTTTGCTAATGAAAAAGAAAAATGATTTTTAATTAATTAAACAATTTAATATGATTCAAAAAATCTTGCTGATAGAAATTTTTTGGAATAAAAATTTAATAAAAATTTAAAAAAAGAAATAACATTAATTATGGCTAATTCATAAAATCTAACAATTATTCGGCTAATTTTTCAAAATTTCCACGATAAATTTCAGGGTATTTGAAAGAGTTTTCTAATCAATTAGGATAATTTGGTATAATTTTAAAATAATTTTTGTTAATTGGAAAAACTTTTGCAAAAAAATTTTTTAAAAAAAACTTTTAATTATGATTACAAATAATTTGATATAATTCCTTTTTCCTTTTTTTATTTTTATTTTTTAAACATAAATTCTTACAATAATCATCTATTCCACTCATTAACATCCAAATTCGTTGATGTTTCAAAGATATAAAAAAATACAAAAAATAAAAGTTGAAAATTTTAAAATGAACAAAAGACGAAAAGATTTTTTTTCGTTTTTTTCCCTCTTCCTTCTAGTAATTGTGCAATTTTGTCACATTATAGTATTGTTGAAATTGAAGTTGAAAACTAAAAGATGAAAAGTTAGGAAAAATAATAAATAAATTAAACAGTAGAAAATGTATTTACTCGTTTTCTAAGTATGTTTTTTAGGGTAATTCTTCGTTTTTTCTTTTTCTTTTCACTAATTTTACCTGTTTTGATTCTCTTTCACATAAATTTAAAAAAAAAATTTAAAACCTGAAATTGGTGACACTATTGTCCTGAAGTGCATTTAACAAGCTATTATAGTTTGGTTCTATTTTTTTATTTGAAAAAAAAAGAAAAAAGAAATACTATTTTAACAAAACTTTTAAACGAATAATCAATACCAATTCATTAATCGGTATCATTTATTTAAATTGAATTTTTGAAATCAAATTTTTGATCTTAAATAATCATAAAATTGAATTTTAAAATAATCACAATTAAGTAATGGTAAATTTTCATTTAGAATATTATTAATCTGTTGAATTCATTTGAATTAAATTTTTGAAATGAAGTTTTTAAACGAAATTGGAATTAAATAAAAAAAATATGCTATTTTAAGAAAACTTCAAATATATAATGAATAAAAATTCATCAATTATTAAATGATTAATTTAAATGAAATTCGTGAAATCAAGCTTATTACATGGTCTAAAATTTAAATTTCAAAATAAATACAATAAATTTATGCAAATTCACAATGAAAATATTACTAATCAGCTAGAAATTTGATCTTTAAATTCTAATTCTTATGAAAAAACAATCTTTGATAAAATTTTCATATAATCTGAAATCTAATCTTTAATACATATAATAAATTCAGAATTCAATGATGTTTAGGTGACTATTTTTACTAAAAAATTTCCGGAATTTTTTTAGTTAAACGTAGTCAGGAAGGAGGATATCATTGGAAATTTATGATGTGCTAATTAGATGATTACAAGAATTGAGGGAAAAATTGGAATCGAATAAATTAGACAAATAAAATTAATGATAAGCTAAA